ATTCGAACTCATAATGACACCGTAATTTCTGATACTGTAAATCTTTATGGGAGCAGAAAGCCTCATCTTTTTCCCACAGAGCAACTAATGGATTTGAACTGCCAACCTTGCAGTTAGCTTATCCTATAGTTTTTATGCTACAGCACCAGCAGGGCTCCTTGTGACAAAGAGAGAAAGGATTTCAGGATGAGCCAAGTTACTTAATTGCCATCTGTACCACCTAAACCCGCCCATCATTCCCCTTCCTGTCTTCCTTACACAGTCGCCATTCCCATCTCTCACCCACTTTCTCTTCACACAGTGTTCCAGGTGCCCCCACTTGGTCCTTTTCTTGTAGCTGTGCTTCATCCTCTCAACCCTCCCAGATGGAACTTCCCAGACTGCAGACCACCCTTTCAGAACTGTCATGCTGCACAGGGTACCACTTACCCATCTCACCCTACCTCTGTGACATGATCACAGTCAGGGCTGATTTTTTTTTTTTTTTTTCATAACACTTGCAGCTTTCTGGCTTTATCTTACTAATGGCTTACTTGGTAATTTTGTCTCCTCTAGCTAGAACAAAGGCTGCTTGAAAGCAGGGTTTTTGTCCTTTTCATCACCTGGCAGATCTAAGGCAATAAGTAATTTTTGGTGTTGAATTGAATTAAACACAGAGATGCTTGCCTGGTCAATAGAGGATGTTTGTTCCTTGCTGGTTTGTTTTTGTTCTTGCTGCATCTTCTATTTCCTGCCCTGCTAGAGTCCAGCCAAGCAGTTGTAAACCTCCTCCCAGTAGTTTAGATCCCTCAGGCACTATGGGAGGACCAACACACTCAGGCCTTGGTCTCTGAACCTGTTACCACAGAGCTGATCTCTGCTTTTGAAGCATCCCTTTTCAACCAGCCTCATCCCCCTTTATAAAACCACTGGAGACCATTGCCCCTTGAGGCATACACTCCTCTGAAGAGACTCGATGTAATTCCACAAGCATTTATTGAGGATTTCCCATATGCCAGGCACTGTGCAAAGCATCCCCAAAGACATGGGCTATATAACAAATGCCTGTGTCCTTATTCCTCTGAGATTCCTGGAATCCCTGCACCTCTGTGATCAGCACATAAGTTTCTGACCTGGGCAAGTTGCCAAGCATGAGCAGAGGGAAAGATGTGGATGGCCAAGGCCCAGATCTAGGCCCAACAGCTATTTGCTCCAGTCTGTCTCTGCTCCTCACATTCTCCTGGCATCATGTTGGGACAATTTCTCATTTCCAAGCAGATGTTCTGGATGCAATTGGACAACAATACTAGCTCTCAATTCTTGCTCTACTGCTTGGCCCAGCATTTCTGTAAGAGGACCAAGATGAAGGCAAGAAAGTTCGGAAAGTTCACCAGTCAGCCCATGATTCACAGCTGCCATTTCTTCACCCAAGCCTGGAACCCATAGCAGGTCTGAAGACTGAGGTGAGGGTTGGCCGACTGGTTATAGTTCAGGTTGGGGGATCTATTGGCAGGGTCCTGGAGAGCAGGCTATGAAGCAGGAAAGACTTACAGACTTCAGGGCGCCTTGGGCTCCCACTCCTGGCCGTCCTTATTTCCTCAAACTTATCTGCCAGTTGCTTGGCTGCTCCATAACATGACCCACCAACTGTCATGGAACTTTGGCCTCCAAGAGAAACAGCACCCATAGATCTCATACCCAGTTTTGGCCCCAATCTGCACCAAGCACACTCGTCTTTGGAGCCCAGACCAAGTGTCTTTTTTGGAAAGAATAACAGGAAAAATGGGAGTGAGGGAAGAAATGGATCACTCAGTCATCAGGGGTGGGGGGCAACCACCACACACTATATTCAATAGATTAGATTCACCTCCCTCCACACACATACTGACACACATGTTCTCTGAGATACACATTCTGGAATGTCCTAGAAAAGGGGGTGTGGCTTGAGCGGGCACAGAAGATGTCCTTGGAATGGACTCTAATACTTCCCTGTCTCAAAGGGTAGGAACCATCATAACTATAGAGCCAAGTAGGGTCGTTTCTGGTCTCTGGGACCCAGACCACAGTCTTTATTGCTGGATGGGTCCCTGTTCATCCCTGTTGACTATTTTATCTTAGGACTTTATCTCCAATGTGTCCCTTTTTAAAAACTGCATTGACCTAGCTTCATCTTCCTTGGCTGTGAGCATATCAGGAGTACTCATTAAGGAGCTCTGGTAGCATGGTGGTTACAAATTGGGCTGCGAACCACAGGGTTATCAGTTAGAAACTACCAGCTGTTCTGCGGAAGAAAGATGAGGCAGTCTGCTCCTGTAAAGATTTACAGCCTCAGAAACTCTGTACAGGGTCGCTATGAGTCGGAACTGACTCCACGGCACATAACCACCACCATTAATATCAGAGGCTCAGCCAGCTCAGTGCCCATTAATTGCTCTGCACTAAGCCTCTAGAGGAAGCCTGGTGTGACGCTGTGGGCTAATGCATCAGACTGCAAAGTCGTTTGAACTGAAAGGTCGGTGGTTCAAGCTCACCGGAAACCCTATATAGGGTCGCTATGGGTCGGAATCGACTCGATGGCACTTAACAACAACAACAACAAAGCCTCTAAAAGTCCCTGAATGGCACAAAATGTTAGGTACTTGGTTACTAACAGAAAGGTTGGTGGTTGGAAGTACTTCAGAAGACAGACTGGCAATCTGCTTCTGAAAGGTCATAGCCTGGAAAACCCTATGGCATCGCTCTATTCTGCACACGGGGCCAAGTTGAGTCGGAGTTGTCTCAACAGTAACTAACAACTAAGCCTCTGGAGCCCCTGGGTGATGCAAACAGTGAAATGTATTTGGCTGCTAACTGAAAGGTTGGAGGTTGGTGAGTGGAGTCCACCAGGAAGTTCCTTAGAAGATCTACTACCAAAAAAATCAGTCATTGAAAACTCTATGGAGCACAGTGCTCCTCTGACACACATGAAGCCCCATGAGTCAGGATCATATCGATGACTATTGGTTTTTACTAAGCCTCTTCCTCCATTAGGAATACATTCAATTCATCCTCATTCTTCCTTATTGCTGTAGGCTCAGGTGGCCCTGTTTTCCTTTGGCTGCCTTGTCCTGAAGCTTGGTCTCTGTTGGTTGCCACTCGAGGTAGTGTTGTCACTGACAAAGAATCCATGGATAGGTGGGCTTTGTCCTCTCTGACTGAGGATTTTAGCCAACTCTGTTCCCATGGGCCATGCTGCCAGCTGTCCCAACTGGTGCCCCCTCCCAGCCTGCATTAGGGTGGGGGGGCACTGGAGGTGCCTGTAGAGGACCCAACAGCTTCGAGAAGCCTCTGGTGCTGACGAAGGTGCTTCCTCCGTTCATGTTCCCCTGTGACTTCACACACCAGTTGGGCAGGGAAGGCCCCAGGGACCCCCTTCAGCCAGCCTAGGGAAAGAAAGGGCAAGGGGGGACGTCAGGTAAGGAGGACAAGAGAAGCCCTGGTGGAAAGCTAAGGCCTCTTGGTAGGTGGGTATGGAATTAGTAGAGAAGCCTTCAGCATTAGTAGAAACATTACTGAAATGGAGGTGACAGCCCTGAAGAGAGGTTGGAATCATGCTGTGTCAAACCCTGTAATGTTGGCTCATCTCATTCAGAGTCCATGCCCAAGTCTTTACAACCACCTACAAGGACTCAGAGGAGCTCTGGTAGCATAGTGGTTACAAATCGGGCTGCCAACCTCAAGGTCAGCAGTTCGAAACTACCAGCTGTTCCACATGAGAAAGATGAGGCTTTCTGCTCCCGTAAAGATTTGTAGCCTCAGAAACCCTGAACAGGGTCGCTATGGGTCAGAACCAACTCCACGGCACATAACCACCACCACGAGGATTCACATGATCTGGTCCTTGTTACATCTATAATCTACTTCTTCTTTTTCCTTGCTCCCTTTAGTTACACTGGCCTCCTTGCTAGTCCTCAAACTCCTTGAGCCTTTGGGCCTTTCTTTGCATTGACTACTGCTTCTGACTGGGATGCTTTTTCCCCCAGATACCCATGTGGCTAAATTCCTCACCTCTATCAAGCCATTGCTGCCAGGTTGTCTTCTCAATGAACCCCACCTTAACCTTGCCATTTAAAATTGTAACCCTACTTAACCCTGCAATGAGCTCCGGTTACATAATGGTTATGAGTCGGGCTGCTAACCTCAAGGTCAGCAGTTTGAAACTACCAACCGTTCCGCGGGAGAAAGATGAGGCTTTCTGCTCCCATAAAGATTTACAGCTTTGGAGACACTATGCAGGGTTGCTATGAGTCGGAACTGACTTCCTGGCATACCACTACCACCAGTTGCTCAGCCGAAGTAAGAAAGATGAGGCAGTCTGCTTCCATAAAGATTTGTAGCCTCAGAAACCCTATAGAGCAATTTTACTCTGTCCTATATGGAGTTCCCTGGTATGGCACTGCGGGTTAATGTGCTGGGCTGCAAGGTCAGCTTAAACCTCAAGGTTGGCAGTTCAAGCTCACCAGCCGCTTCTTGGAAACAGGATCGATATGAGGCAGAACTGACTCGACAGCACTTAACAACAATAACAACATATGGAGTTCAGGAGCCCTGGTGTGGCACTGTAGGATCAGCACTGGACTATGAACCATGAGGTCAGCAGTTCAAATCCACCAGCTCCTTGAAAACCCTATTATGAGTCAGAACCAACTTGATAGCACTTAACAACACTAACCACAAGGTCTGTGGTTCAAACCCACCACTAACTCCTCAGGAACCTTATACAGGGTCAATATGAATCAGAACTAATTCAATGGCACTTAACAATAACATATATATTGAGTTCAGGAGTCCTGGTGTGGTGCTGTAGAATAAGCACTAGACTGCTAACCAAGAGGCAAACCCACTAGCTGCTCCTTGGGAATATCGGACCCAACTCCATGACATTTAATAATAACAACAATACAAGGGCACTATGAATGTACTGTATAATGTTCTTACCCATTTTACTTGGAGTAGTATAGTGGTTACGAGTTGGGCTGCTAGCCACAAGGTCAACAGTTCAAATCTACCATGGGAAAAAGATGAGACTTTCTGCTCTCATAAAGATTTACAGCTTCGGAAACCCTATACAGGATATCATTATGAGTCAGAACTGACTCAACAGCACACAACTAACTAACCAATTCATTTTACTTATTCTCTCTCCGCTTCCGCTGCTAGAATGTAAACTCTTGAAGGGCAGGAATCATCGTGTTTGGCTCAGGAGGATTGCCTACAACAGTGATCAGCATCTGTTGTTGTTGTTGTTGTCTGACTTACAGCGAACCTGTATAGGGTTTCAAGGTGAATTTGAACCGCCAACCTTGTGGTTCAAACCGACCTTGCACACTAGTGCTTATCTTACAGCACTGCACCAGGATTCCTGCTGAGCATCTAATAGGTGCTTAATAAATACTTATTGAATGAATAAGTAACAATCGCTCACCTTCAGGACCCTTGTGCCGGTGCTTGGGGGGACTCCTGGATACCAGACTCCGTCCCTCAGTCTTAGCAGGTGTTGAAGACTCTGAACAAATTTCCTGGGAACATTCTGATTGAGAGTAGAAGGCATTGCAAGAGAATCAAGACTCTTTAGCTCTTCCCCTGTGTTCCCCTTAAGACTCAGTTTACCTTCCCTCCCCCCAACCCGGGACTCACCACAGTCCTCATAGATGGTATCTGGGGAGCAGGGGAGGGGACCTGGAGTCGGGAAGGCTCCTAGCCAGCGCTGCATGTCTGATCTAGAAGGGATATAGGGACAGATCATAGTTGGACCAAGGAGTTAGGCAGGGATCACCGAGGAGAAACAGTGGGGAGAAAGCTGAGGTTTGAGAGGTCAGAGAAAATCTAAGAGGCCTGACGGAGACACTACTCACAGGGATGAAGCTTGGAGTAACCGGTGGGTGGGGCGGCCCTGGTGGTTGCTGAGAAGGGAGAGGCGGAACGTAGGGGGTCCTGATGGATCTGGCACTTGCTGGGCCTGGACCAGCGAGCGATGGGCATAGTCCAGAACCTGCAGCCGTTGCCCACTGCCAAGGAAAGAGAGGGTTCAGTGTGAGAGCAGGGCTTCACCTGGACCCCTTCTTTTCCACCCTAGCCTGGGCATCCTCCCTCCCTGGGAGCCACCTCTTGGGTTGAGTGATGAGCAGCAAGTCACTGAAGAGCAGCAAGCAGAGAGGAGTGAAGCGGGGACGGGAGGGGAAGAGCACGCCACCCCTCCGGCACCCCAGCTCTGTCAGCTCCCCCTGCAGCTCCAGGCGCCTTGACCAGGAGACCAAGGGCAGGGCCTGTGAGGAAACAAGAGGCTCTGGAACAGGTGGCCTTGAAGCTCTGAGGAAAGGGCAGGTAGGACGTCTGGGCAGGGACCGACCTTGACTTTATGGAAGCGCAGCCTTTGGGTGAGACGGATCAGCTCCTCAGTCTGTTTCATGCGCCCCACCTCAGCACTACAGCGCTCAATGATCTGGGGAAGGGGAGCCAGGTCACCCAGCCCTGAGGCAGCCCCTGCTCCCTGCCACCCCTCCCACCTCTCTCTACCAACCTCAGCACCCCCTCCTACCCACCTTGCTGATAGCACCCAGAGCCTTCTGGGCATTCTCCTGTCGGCTGGACCCCTCCTCTGTTTGGTGCAGGATATTCTGGGGAGAAAGAGGAGGAGGCCACAGCTCAGAGGACCCTAACTGACTTGGAGAAATGCTCAGTTTGGTGGAGAAATCGTTTAACAAGTCTGAGTGCCTGCATAACCCTGAGCAAGTCATGCTACTGCTCCAAGCTCAGTTTCCCCATCTGTTAAATGGGCCATTATTGTTGTTAAGTACCATCAAGTCAGTTCCAACTCATAGTGTTTTATTTGAATATTAATTACCCACAACAATAGGGAGCCCTGGTAACATAGTGGGTTAACCTTATAGTTGAGCTAACTACTAGCTTAGCAGTTCAAATCTACCAACTGCTCCTCAGGAGGAAGATGAGAATTTCTGTTCCCGTAAAGATTTACAGCCTTGGAAATCCTATACAGGGTTGCTGAGTTGGAACCGACTCAGTGGTACACAGCCACCACCACCCACAACAATTAGTACAAACAATATTTTGTTGTTGTTAAGTGCTGTCAAGTCCGTTTCATCTCACAGTGACCCTGGATTGGATTTCCAAGGCTGTAAATCTTTGCAGGATCAGAAAGCCTCATCTTTCTCCTGCGGAGTGGCTGGCAGGACCTTGTGGTTTGCGGTCCAATACTTATCCTCTAGAACTACTGTGTTCCTGTAAACAATATAACAGAGTGGTTAAGAATGGATTTAAGTTCTATCTCCATCAATTTAGTATCTGTATGACCTGGGGCAAGTCTGTAAAATGGGGTTAATAATAGTCCCTCCCTTCACAGGACTCCAGGTGTGGCACTATAGGATCAGCACTGGACTGTGAACTACAAGGTTGGCAGTTCAAACCCACCAGCTCTTCCTCAGAAACTCTATACAGGATGGTTATGAGTTGGAACAGACACGACTGCTCTTAATAACAACTCTTCATACAGTTGTTGGTAAGGTTAGATGGGTCCATCACAGGTAAACAAGAGCATTCAATAGGCATTGGCAGTTGTGATGACTATCATTATTATAATTGTGCTGTCTGTATTGAGAATGTATGAAGGTAAATAAGACATTGAGCAGTTGATAATCTAGTTAGAGACTCTTCATACTAAGATTCTCACCATACTGAGTGACCTGGTTTTAGAGTAGGCAAGATTTCTAGCTTGCAGTAGGAATGCTACTCTTTTCCCCCCCACTATTTTCAACCCTTTTATAGAGAATTTTGGAGCTCTCGGGTGATATAAACAATTAATGCACTTGCCTGCTAACGGAAATCAGCTATTAACCCAAAGGTTGGGAATTCAAGTCCACCCAGAGGAACCTCAGAAGAAAGGCCTGGCAATCTGCTTCCAAATAATCAACCACTGAGAGCTCAATATAGCACAGTTATACTCTGATACACTTGGGTTTGCATGAGTGGGAGTCAGCTTGACTGCAATTTGGCTTGGTGCTTTTTTTCTGTTTCTCTTTTTTAAGACATTCTTTTCTTAATCACCCCCTACCATGAAATTTTGGAGTCCTGGTATGGTGCTATAGGATAAGTACTAGACCAAAAGGTCGGTTTGAACTCCATGATCGCTGGTGAAAACCCACCAGCGGTTCCTTGGAAACCCTATACAGGATCACTATGAGTGGAAACCAACTCGACAGTACTTAACAATGACAGCCATGTAATTTTAATAGCGTAGCTATAACTGTAAATCTCTTCATGTACTATGGCCCTTTGGAAGACCACAGCCATTGAAATGTCTAAGATTCCCCAGTCCACCGCATCTCACAAGAACTTGCTCCCTAAGGGTGATATCGTTACCTTTGAGAATGCATGTAGTAGAAGACTGGAGCTGGAGAAGACCTTGAAGACCACTCACTACATTCCCCTGAAGCCCAGAGAGGAGAAGGGTCTCAGAAGTTAGCAGCCTAGCTACATCTAGTATTAGCATCTCTCACCAGAGGCTCTTCCTTCACCCATGCTGCCCCTTGGGGCATCTGAGGAGCTCCAGGCAAGAGTTGGTGGGTCTTTGACTGAGAGGCCCAGAGTAGAAATGTAATTTGAAGACTTCTGTATCAGGTAGAAGGAGCCCTGATTGTGCTGTAGGATAAGCACTGGACTCCTAACTACAAGCTTGGGAGTTCAATTCCATGGGAGAAAGATGAGACTTTCTGCCCCCGGAAAGATTTACAGCCCTGGAAACCCTATGCAGGGTCGCTATGAGTCGGAACCGACTCCACGGCACATAACAACAACAACAAAAGCTTTGCAGCCTCAGAAACTCTGTAAGGGTCCTTATGAGTCAGACTCGGCTTGATGACAGCCAGTTTTCTTCTGGTTTTGGTGTAATGTGGAAGAGGAGCCCTGGTGGTATAGCATGTCAAGCACTGTACTGCTAAACACAAGATTGGCAGTTTAAACCCACCAGCCGCTCCAAGATGAGGCTCTCTGCTTCCCTGGTGGCACTGTGGATTAATGTGCTGGACTGCAAAGTCGGTTTGAACTGCAAGGTCGGTGGTTCAAGCTCACCAGACGCTTCTCAGAAGCCCTACACAGGATCTCTATGGGTTGGACTGACTCGACAGACACTTAACAATAACAAAAGAGCAACTGGAGTCCTGGTGTGGTGCTGTGGACTAATGCACTGAACTGCAAGGTCTGTGTGAACCGCAAGGTCAGCAATTCAAGCTCACGAGCCACTCCTTGGAAACCCTATGCAGGGTCACTATGAGTCGGAACAGACTCGGCAGCACTTAACAGCAACAACAACAAAGAGCAATTGGTCAAGTCCAACCAGAGATACCTCAGAAGAAAGGACTGGTAAATCAGTCTGTGAAAACCCTGGAGAGCACAGCTCTACTCTGACATGCATGGGGTTGCCAGGAGTCGGAAATTGGTGGTGCTCATGGTGGTGTAAAAAATGGTGATGGACAGGCAACAGGCCCCTGGGTAGGGTTCTCCAACTGGGGCTGGTGGGGTAAGAAAGTCCACCAAGCCAGGATGCGTACCTGCAGCAGCATGCGGAGCCGAGTGATGCGCTGAAAGGGCAGCAGCAGAAAAGATGGCAACGGGAGTCGCTCACACTTGGGGAGGCTCTGTAGCCGCTGCAACTCCGCGGAGAAGCGTATGTTTGTGTCCCTGCAAAAGGAAGGCCAGGCAGCATGTATCTACCTTGAGACCCTCCCCAGGTCCTGAGCTGGTTTCCCAGCCTGCTCGAATTGAGACTGCCCCCCAGCTTCTTCTGAGGGGTTCTTACAGGAGGCGGCTGTAGGTCTCCTCTTGATACTGTTGGTTCCGTACGTAATCTACGTACACTGAGAAAGGGCCCACGGCATGGGCGTGCACCACATCACACAGGTCACTGATGTGAGGGGAGGAGCGCACACGTGATAGTAACGTTCCTAGAAACCTGGAGACGTGTAGGGGAGAAACAAACAATGGAAGGGACAGAGAACCAGGCCTCCTGGATTCTCCAGGGAAGAGCTGGAAACTAACTGGGCCCACGGAAGAGGACAACCCAAGATGGGAAGAAAGGCTGGGGAGTGCTTGGACCCTGAGTCCCACTGACTGACCGCTCACTGACTCCCTGGACTCGCTGTACATTGGAGAAGAGCGTGTGATGATCCCTGGGGGTGAGCGTGTCCCGGAGTGCCTGACTGAGCACAAATGTGTCAGTCAGCAGCCGCAGAGAGCGCAGGTAGGAGGCCTCGGACGTCACCACCTCAAACAGGCTCTGAGGAAAGACAGGGCAGTAGAGGAAATCACAGTTCATGGCCAGCCCAGGACTTAGGCCACTCTTCCCCTACACCCAGTCTGCCAATTTTAACGCCAGGTGCAGCCACCCACCTCTTGCATTCGCCTCTCCTGGGAGCTGAGCGTCTCGAGGAGGCCACTGGATCTAACAGCCGGAAGCTCCTGCCACAATGTGTTGCGAGGTCCAGGGGGCCGTGACAAAGTGGGAGCATCACCAGGATTTGTTAGTGAAGAACTCACATCCTCACCAACCCCCCACAACTCCTCTGAGAGCACAGCTGCCCGATAAGTCTGGTACAGGGGTTCTGGAACGCAGAAGTACCCATCAGTGAGGTCCAGTTTCCCCAGACTTCCTCCCCTGTTTAATGATCACAACAGGGACCCCAACGAAGTAAGAGGTCTCACCATCCTGCAGGGGCAACTCCCAGTTCTGTTCCTTCAGCTCCTCTAGTCCCTCCTCATCTCTGTGAAGAGAAACAAGGCCAGGAGCCCTAAAGCCACTGCTGCCGCCCACCTCCAGGGGATGCTGTTCACAGAGGTATGCACAGAGGACTCACCAGACCAAACCCCAGATTTTATTATGTACCTGCTGCAGGGGAGACCCTGACCTATGTGAACTCTGCCCATCATTGTGTGCCAAAAAACAAAACCAAACTCACTGCTGTCCAGTCACAGTTGACCCTATAGGGTAGAGTAGAACTGCTCCCTAGGGTTGCCAAGAATCTTTAAGGCCCCTCAGAGTGACTGGTAGGTTTAAGCAGCCAACCTTTTGAATTAACAGTCCAATACCTAATTCACTATGCTATGGGGGCTCTTCATTTTGTGCTATAGAAGCCGCCATTGTCTAGAATGTTCTATCTGTGTGCCTCAGTGAAAGTCAACATGATCAAATTCACAATCTTACACCTTCCCTTGTTCTAATCATCAGCATCATCACACACCCACTCCTACTAGCCACAACCGGGAGAATGATCTCCCACAATACTAGTAAATGTTTGTTGAATAAATAAATAAATCAGAATTAACTCTAATATAATGATGGTAAATCTAAAACAATTTTAACAAGTCCAGATAACTTAGAAGAGGTGTTCATGGCTGCTAATGGATTTGTGAACATTACTTAAAAGGAGGGGGATGGGAACTAAAACAGAGCCCAGCTGACACCATATCCCACATGCCAACTGCTCTATGAAAGTAGTTGCATTTCGTAAGTATTCTATAGAGGAAGACTGAGATCCAGAAAGGCTGCAGAACTAATAAGACAGAATTGTGAGCAGAAACCAGGTTTGCTTGTCTCTAGAGTCTCAGCCTTTCTTCATATCACCTTGTGGAAGTGGGATTTAATTGGACATGAAGGTTTGTCTACCCTCAGGTAGTTGTTAAGTGCTGTCAAGTCAGTTCCAACCCATAGCAACCCTGTCTAGGGTTTCCTAGTGAGCTTGAACAGCCGATCTTGCGGTTCAAATGACTTTTCAGTCCAGCGCATTAACCCACAACGGCACACAAGGACTCCTAGGTAGGAGTATAGGAATGGGGATATAGGTAAAGGTTGGATATTTGGTACCTGTCCTCCATGGTTGCTGGTGAAGTGTTGCAAAGAGTTTCATCAGGACTGTCCCCTGAAGAGAGAACCCAGAGTGAAGAGATGCCCCAGTTCAGGACTCCAAACTCTAGCTACAGCAGAGACTATTACCTACCAAAATGATAACTCCCATAAACCCCAGCAAAGCAGCTGATGAAAGACTAAAAAGCACAGGACCTATTGGGGGTTGTAGTTCCTAGATTTTTAAAGAACTCTTCACTTCATCCACTCTTTCTCTTCACAACCTAGGGGTCCAACCCCACAGGCTCTGTACCTGTTTGGATTCCATCTTCGGAGGGCAGATCAGAATCTGACTGTGCGGGATCCCCACTGGAGGCATCCAGTCTCACTTGAGCTGGCTTGCGGGGCTTGAGGGGTGGCAGGAGTTTGCGTTCCGCAGTGGAGCGGTAGGACGTGAGAACAACTGGGGGGTGATTGCTGTTTGGAGGGTTGGGGCGGGAGCGGGAGGTCCGAAGTGGGGAGGCCCTGCAGGGAGCCCTAGGGCCATCCTCACAGCTCCGAACAGGTACCCATCGGAGCTCCAGGCCAGGCCGGGCTATGTGGCAGACACAGGGGCAGCAGGGAGGGCAGGCCAGGGCAACATCTGTAGGACACAGCGATATCTTAAGAAGAAAGTCCCTGGGGCCCAACCCCACCCTGCCCAAGCCTCCTCCCTAACTTTAACCATACAACTACAGAAACATGGAGGTTTAGCCCCAAGCACCTGTCTTCCCAACCCTGATTTTCCTCAAACTCTCAGAGATTATGAAGCCAGATTTTCCAAACACAAAAATCCCCTCTTAAAGAAGATGAGTTGGGTTGGGGCCACCCTAGTCCTGCCGCCATGCCCTTACCTGTAGCTCCGTTCTCCTGGGACCCACTCCCAGAGAGGATGCTCTGGGGAGCCTCTCTCTCCCCATTCATATCTACTCCACTTTGAGGACTCAGCTCCAGGGCTTCGGAAGCTTGGGTCCTGCCTTCAGTCCCCCACTCAAACTTTCCAGCCAGCCTCCGCACAGTGCCAGGGGCTGAGGCAGAGCCATCCTGGGCCTGGGCCTGGGCCTGGGCCCCAGGGAGCAGAGGCAGAGATGTGTGAGATGACCCAGAGGGCTTGGGTGGAGGAACTGGAGACCGGGGAACAGGCTCTGGGGAGATGGAGCGTCGGGACACAGGAGTGGGAGTATTGGAAGATGAGCCTGGAGAATTTGGGGAATCAAGGCTGACTTTAGAAGCTGAGGGAGGCAGAAGGGCAGGAGGCTTGAGGCATGCACCTGGGGGCTCCCAGAAGATGGGGGTGCACATGGGAGTTGGTACATCATTGGAAGTGGGGGTAGGCTCTTGTAGGGAAGAACCATTGTGGGGGAGCCCTGGGGTCTGGGCAGCTCCCCGGAGGCGCGAAGGAGGGCGAGGGCGAATGATCCGGGGGGGCTTCTGGGTAGGAGGTGTTGCTGCAGGAAGAGACTGGGCTGACATCTTCCTCAGAGTTCTTCAAAAGAGTGAGGCAGTCTGCGGGAGTCATCCCCTGTGAAGAAGGGAGAGAGGCCTTCAGTGCGCCCCAGGTGTGTGGACCTGTGGCCTTTAAGGAATCCGGCCTTCCACCCACCCTCTGCAGACAATTCCAAGTCAATTCTAAGTCAACCCAATCAAAGGGGGAAAGAAATCATTTGCAAGTGAATGAGCCAGATTCTACAGTCCGGAGGGAAGATGGGGCACTTCCTAGTTTTCACTTACTTTCTTCTCTCCTCTCCACTTCTCGCTGCCCCCCACCCCCTTTCTCATTCTGCCTCTTGAGGATCCTGGACCCTCCTGGCCAGCCTTTCTCAGCCTCCATTTATCTGCTGTTGCTATAGTCAGGCCAGAGGAGGCTGGGGGCAGGGGACACCTGCGTAAAGACCCAAGTTGAGGGGTGGGTGTGAAAGAGAGCAGGATTCGGCTTGCCAAGAGAGCCTGCTGTGTGTTTGTGTGTCTGCTTTAAATGTGGACCCGGTGAGTGTGTGTGGTGGGTGAGCACATGTTCTGTGTGTGGTCCTGAGGAGTTGTGGGATGTGCTTCCTGAGTAGGAATATAGTGGGGAAAGTGGTGTGTGCAGTGTGTGTTCCATTAAGAAGTATGTGTGAGAGAGAGAGTGTGTGTGTGTGTGTGTGTGTGCATGCCCAGGCCTGGGATGTGAAGGATGCATCACTGTTTCCCTGCTCCAACTGGCCCTCCGCCCCCCATTTCCCAGTTCCTCTCTCTGGACTCTCCCTTTCCGGATTATTTTTAGTCTCCTTTTCCTGCCATGAAGATTCCCGGAGCCTCTGACCCCAGGAGGCCCTAGGCATGGTCTCTTATCCCCACTTCTCCTGGCACACATAAAGGCATCAGGAGAGCTCTGGGCCCTGCCAGGATGCCTGGGGAGTGGCCTGGAGACCAGACTGAAGGCAAGAGCCTGGGAGATCAGGATGGTAGGGGCTGAGTTTCTCTTTCTTCCTCAGAAAGGAGCTGGAGGGTCAGGGGTAAGGGTGGAGTACCTCCAACTCTTTTCAGGAATCAGAGGAGGAATCTGACCCCTCCAAGCCCAAGATGAGGTTTTGAAAAAAATTATATGGCCTGTGGACAGCAGACTAGGAGTCTTAGAGTTTATGGCATTGTGTCTCTGTCAGGAAGCCCTTTTGCGAGGTGAGTCAGGCAGCACCTTACAGCTGACCAGCTCCTATATAGTCCCTGCCTAGCTCAGGGAACCTGCCCCTACTCTTAGGTACCTGCGATTTGCTTCCTTCCCAACCTCCCACTCTGGCTTCTTGTCGCAAGACCCAGGTATTCTGGCCCCAAGCACTCACCCTTGAGTATCCTCCATTCTCAGTCACCTCCCAGGGCTGAGTGAGTAGGGGCAGGAAACAGGAATCGGATCCTACTCCCAACCGGACACCCCCCCTCCCCAACACACAACCACACCACGGTACTCCACATGCGCACACCCAGGCTCTGGAATATGTGGAGACCCAGCATCCTGGGTCTGGCAGGTTAAAAGGGTCTGGGGAAAGGCGGCACCTCACGTTTGGAAGGAAGTAGACTGTTCTATATGTGCTTGTTCTGTCTACATAGCTGTGTCGAGGCACTACTTTTGTTCATGTGGACAGTGGGCTAGGCTTGCAGTGGGTGGAGATGAGGATGGGGTGGAGGTAAGGACATGACTATCAAGAAGCACCTAAGTTAGGGGATGGTGTTGTGTTCCTCTAAGCCCACCTTTCCCACGGCTCCCACTATAGCCTGTCTCTTTAATTTCTAATCTGTGGTCCAGGGTATGAGCTAGCCCTCTATTTTACAAGGAACTCTCAGCATAAGCTTCCCAAGAATTTACCTTTATCTTTCTTGAAGCAGCAACTATTTTCCGCTTGTACTGCCTGCCTCTTGGAGCTAGGAGTGCAGTGGGCCGCCTGTTGAAAGGTCTCCGAGTGGCTGTTCCTCCGTGTTTCTGGGACAGGAATCCAGGAGCCAGATTGAGATCTCTGCAGAGGAAGCTGGTTCCTCAGCCCCACCCGGCCATTGTGTCAGGCGATGTAAGAGATTGTGTGTGTTTGTGTGTGTGCGCGTGTATTTGTAGGAGGGAAAGGAGGTGGGGAGGAGAGCTGAGATCTATGTCCTCCAGTTGGGTAGGACATTTGCTGTGACCCCCACCCACTCACCGTTATCAGTGTCTGTTTCTCTGGACCCCAGCCCCTGGCTCTCCCAGTTCCATTGAGTAGCATTGGTGATAATGGGCTAGGAGGGGCTGAGGTGGGCAGGGGTCCCTTTTGCCTAATTTGCTCTATGATTGAGTTTAGTTCCCAGGGCTGGAGGTGTCATTAAATCTATTGAGGGGGTGGAATGAGCCACACCCGAGCCTGGGAAGTAGTGTGGTAGAAGGAAGATCCCAGAGCAGTTGAAAACTCTGGGGGGCCTCTGCCCACACCCCGGTGCCAGCCTTTGCTAGACTTTCATATATACACACACACACTCCAAACAAGATACTGGGATGAAAATCCAGAAAGCTGGGATAAAAAATGCTACCTTTTTGTTGTTACTGTTTTGTGTTTTTTGTAATCTGAATAAAAGTCAAATTTCTTATCCAAACCCACTGCCATCAAGTTGATACCAACACAAAGTGATCCTTATGCAAGGTTTCCAAGTCTGTAAATATTTATGGGAGCAGGGAGCAGACAGCCTCATCTTTCTCCCGAGATGTGGCTGGTGGGTTTGAACCACTAACCTTTCTATTAGAGCCCAATGCCAAATCCACAGCGCCACCTACAGTGACCAACAATGCCTCACTGATCTGCACACTCCCCTCACTCTCTTCTCAGGAACATTACTGCCTCTGGACTTTTACACTGGTGTTTCCTCTGCCTAGAAACCCCAGACAGGATATCCCCATGGATGATTCCCTCACTTCCTTCAAGTCTTTACTCAAATGTCACCTTCCTAATGAGATCTACCCTGACCACTGTTTAAATCACAGGCCACTCTACCTCACACCCCAGTACTGGTGTGGTGCTGTGGGATCAGGTACTGGACCACAAGGTCAGCAGTTCAAACTCACCAGCTGCTCCTCGGAAGCTCTATACAGGGTCACTATAAGTTAGAACTGGCTCGAGGGCACTTAACAACAACTACCCCATACCACATTCCAGACCTCCCTCTATTCTCATAGCAATTATAGCATAGTGGTAATGAATCCGGCTGCGAACCTTAAGGCCAGCAGTTTGAAACTACCAGCCGCTCCGCGGGAGAAAGATGAGGCGTTCTGCTCCCGTAAAGATTTACAGCCTCGGAAACCCTGTACAGGGTCGCTATGGGTCGGAACCGACTCGATGGCACATAACAACAACAACACAACCCCATACCATATTCCAGACTTCCCTCTATTCTCATAGCAATTATGCCTTATAATCCACCTATACTTTATAATCCACCATAGAGTTTACTTACATTTATAGTTGTTAAGTACCGTCGAGTCAGTATGCCAGGATTCCATAGTATATTCAATGATCTTTTCACACTGAAAAGGAATACCTTGAGGTAAGATCTTTGTTTGGTTGGTTTACTCATGTATCCTAGTTCTAGAACAATAAACCAGTTGCCATCAAGTTGATTCTGACTCATGGTGAGCCCATGTGTGCAGAATAGAATTGCACTCCATAAGGTTTTCATAATTGTGACCTTTTGGAAGCTCACTGGACTTTCTGGATGGGTTTGAACCTCAGACCTTTCAGTTGTTGTGTGTACAAGCAATGGTCTGTCTTTGAGGAGAGAGAGGTTACAGATGACTGTAGTAAAGGTGAGGATCAGGTACCCATGGCACAGGGACTGAGGTTAAGCTGTGTGTTTAACTGCCTTTGCCACCTAGAGGCAACCAGGAACACAGTTTGCTGTTGTTGTTGTTAAGTGCCATCAAGTTGGTTCTGACTTGTAGGGAGCTTGTATAGTGTTTCCAAGGAGCAGCTGGTGGGTTTGAACTGCCAACCTTGTGGTTAGCAGTCCAGTGCTTATCCTACAGCACCACACCAGGACTATAGGAACATAATGATGGTGGTGGTGCTTGTGTGCCACCGAATTGGTTCCAACTCATAGCAACCCTGTACAGCATTTCCAAGGAGCAGCTGGTGGGTTTGAACCATCAATTTTGTAGTTAGAAGTCCAGTGCTTATCATACAGCATCACACCAGAACTCCAGGAACATATATAAACATGAATAAATATTTGATTAAACTAAATAAAATTCAGTCCTTCCCTTAGTCCACAACTATTCCTTCTCAATGGACCATTTCTATAATTCTGTTATCGCATTAGATTCCTATTATACACACACACACCACACCTATACATCAGGGCCAAGCATCCCAGCCTTCAGAAATCCTATTAACAAAGCTACATGCACATGCAGCCAAATGAATTTTGTTTTGGTTTTGCTAAAATGAGAATACTTCTATTAGTTTTGATACTTGAAAAATAACATTTTAAGATACCACTCATTCCCACCCCCTTAATACACAGGGTAGACAGAGATGGGCAACTTGGACATTTGGCTACCCAAAATGGGGGGCGGGATCTACAAAGGCAAGAAGTGACTGGCTTACAAGCTTTAAAAAGGGAACCTAGATCCAGAGGGCATGGAGGAAGGTAGAATCTCCACTGAGTAGTATCCAATCTGTGTGGGTGGGGCTGATGAAAGGAGATGGGGATAGCACTCATGTGGCACAATAATGAATAATTACTATCAGGACTGACTGTGCAGGTTGGAAATGGAAATGTAGACATTTTGTATGAAAAGGAGGGGAGTGGTTGACTTTGCAGTCCAGGAGCAGAGGTCTCTGGAACCATAAAGGGAGAAGAGCAGAGAGCGAAACCCTACTCAGAGAAACAGTGACGCCAGAGATGGAGGCAGAGACGATGACACAGAGAGATGGAGCGGCTGGGGACTTCAGACCCAGAGAGGGAGGGGGCAGGCTTGCGGG